AACCTCCCAGGGAGAGAACAAAAGCATATCACATGTGTTCTTCAAACGCCCTACAAGAGAAGCAGGCCAAGTGTGTCTGAAAACAGCAAGGAAAATGGGGAGCCAAGGGAGGGAGGGAAGGTGGCCAGAGACCACTGAGGTCACGGACTTGGAGTGGCCCAGGGAGGGCTGAGGGTGCCGAGTGAGGGGTGGGACCCAACCTGACTGACCATCTGAAAGGATGCCCTGCTGCTGTGTGAGATGGAAGAAGGCAGGCAAGCCTGAGAGCAGACAGAGCCTGCAGGACACTATTCCACAGCTAGGACAAGTCACGACAGTGGCTGAGACGGTGACAGAGCAGAGGTGATGAACAGTGTTCTGGGGGTGGGTGACAGCTTAAAGAAGAGCAGCAGGAAAGGAGGAAGATGAAGGCAGGGAAGGAGGAGAAAGGAGCAGCAGGAGGAACAGCCCTATGTCTGAGAGAAGAATGGCAGGCGGTTTCTGTCTGAGCTCCTGGCAAGAGGCACGGCTACTAACTCAGGTGAGGAAACCTGAAGAAACAACTGACAGGGGGACGCTCTGCTGAGCTCTAGACAAGTCTGAAGTGACTTAACACACATCCGAGAAGCAGCACAGAGGAAGCAGCTGTACAGGAAGGAGGACTCAGGGTGGGGTCCAGGACGAGACAGAAGTGGGAACCAGCAGGGTCGAGTCCTGAATGTGGTGAAGCACAGGCGACCTACAAGGAGCCAAGGCCGAATGCAGACAACAGGTTCCAAAGGGTACCATAATAGGCATTGAAAGGACAAAAACATGTTTTATTGAGTCAGTCTCACCCTGCTCCCAGGCTGGAGTGCAGTGGCATGCTCATGGCTACCACAGCCTCGAACTGCTGGAATCTGACAATCTTCCTGCCTCAGCCTTCCAAGTAGCTGGAATCACAGCTGTGCGCCACCACGCCTGGCTAATTTTTTATTTATTAAAGAGACAAGATCTCTCCAAGTTTCCCAAGCTGGTCTCGGGCAATCCTTTCGCTTCCGCCACCCAAAGTGCTGGGATGACAGGAATAAACCACTGTGCCCAGTCAACAAATACTTTTTTAAAAGATGGTTCTTTTCTAAAATAACTGAGTGAGCTATCTGGGAGAACCCAGACAACTAGAGGGACTGTGAACTGCCAACCTGCTCCCCGGGGAATCCCCACAACTGTCAGGCCAGTGCAGTTCCATGTCTGCTTCCTTTACAACTGAACCTGCGGGCACAAGACTCAGACCATACTACAATGCTAGGTAAGCCCTGTCCTGCCTTCTTACACCAGGAACCATCTGCAGACAGGCTGGTCTCAAACTCATGAGTTGAAGCAATCTTCCCACACTGGCCTCCCAAACTGCTGTGATTACAGGTGTGCACCATTGCACCTGGCCTGAGAATTATTTAAAAAGAAAGAAAAAAATTAGGATCTTCAGACATTTCAGATGATACTGTATCCACAAAACAAGATATTATGAAAAAACAGGGAAGAAAAAGTCTTGGGAAATTAAAAAACATACTTGCCCACTTTTTTAAAAAGTTCAAAAGATAAAATCAAAGAAGTGTTCAAGAGAGTAAATCAACAAGATCAAGTAAAAAATGAGAAGAAAAGACAAGTGGCAGACAGACCAAAGAAGGAACTTCCAAAAATGAAGAGAAATAAGAGGAAGCAAGTAAAGAACCAGGATAGTGTCCCGCACTGGAGGAACACAAAGCATCCATCCCAAAGGGACTGATTAGCGTCTAGACAGATCAGAAAAAAACCTTAAAATTTCCGGAGAAAAGAACCGAGATATCTCACAGTGGAGTAAGACAGGAGTCTCTGCATGAGTGGTAGAAGCCTCCTGACAGTAGAACCATGCCTTCACAGCTCTGAGGAAAAGGATTTCAACTTGGAATTCTGCACCCAGCCAAAGTGTCCCTCAAGTACAAGGACAGCTCCAGACTTCAAGCCCTCAGACACCTGAATTCCCACATTCTTTCTTGGGAAGCTTCTTCATGACGTGATTACAGAATGGAGAGGCACTGAGAAGACTGGGATGCAGGCCACACAGAGCAGACTCGGGGATGTCCTGGGACAATGGCCCCGATGCGTGCATCGAGCAGGCTGAGGAGTAGAGGGAGGCTCCAGCAGGAGGAGCACCCAAGGCTCAAAGGCAGAGTCATAGCCCTAAAGACTCAGAGACCATCCTGGGGCCAAGCAGGCACAGCAGAAGGGAAGCTCCAGCAGGAGGACCGCCCAAGGCTCGAAGGCAGAGTCACAGCCCTGAAAGCCACAGTGCACAAGCCACGCAAGACGGGAAGAACACAAAACGCTGCAGAAGAGGTGAAAAAATGTTTAAAACACCAGAGAATCCCTACAGAAAACTGTACAAGAAACAGAATGCAAATGTGGTTCTGTAATGGATATTTACAATGCTTACTGGTTCTCAACTTCTGGGATCAATCTACAAAGCATTACCTAAACAGTGAACAAAATGTCACTCTGATCAACTCTGATGATATGTAAGTACAGACAAAAGGGTTAGAAGGTGGAGGGAGGACAGACATAGGTGGGGAAGGACGGAGACACGAGAACGGGAGGAAGACATAAACGTCCAAGTCTTTTAGTCTAAATATACGGATATCAGGGGGCCAAAATCTGTGAAGAATAATCAGACAAGAAACACGTATTTCGTTGTATTACTTAAAACTGCAAAAGGAACCAATACATGAACTAAAGCTGGGATTTCACTACACGAGCTTGGCAGCAGGGAAAAGAGAAGAGCCAGAAGCTGACACATGCGAGACGTCCACAGATGCTAGTGCAGCTGGTGAATGAAGAAAGAATAGAGGCACGTTACTGCAGATAAGGAGGAAATTAACGAGAGTCGCAAGCAGACGCATTTAAAAGCGGTGCCTTCCGGGGAGGGAGACAATGCTATTTTGTCCTTTATTATTTTATCTTTTAACTTGTTGTAGGACTTGACCTTGATACTTCTCCGTTGTTCACATTAGGAGTTAGATACCCAATGCTCTTCTGTTGATTCTGGGATGTTAAAACCCAAGCATCTTGCTTTGAGACTCCCTAGCTCTGCCTCCCCTCTCTCCATTACCTGACATTCTTGTCTGTTTTCTATTCCACGGGACTCCACCCTAGGGCACTCTCCCATGGAGCTCTCTGTCTGTGAGGAAAACCCTGGTGCAATAAGCTGGAATGATCACAGGGCACAGACTGCTGCAGCCCCTGTAGACTTCAGCCTTACCTGCCACCGCACCAAGCAAAAGCCCTCCCTGCTTCCAGGAGCCCTGCTCAAACTGGCCCATTCACACTTCCCAGTTAGCACCTACTGGTTGTTTTGGGGCCAATAAACAGGTCTTGCTCTCAGTTACATCATTTCTCAGAAGAGGATATAACGTTGACATGGCAGACTACATAATATAGTTAAAGTTTTGTAAAGAGACAGAATGACTAGACAAATACAGGAAGGAATCATACGTCTACATGAAATCAACAATTTTGAAACCATGTTTCACGAAACCTGGAACAATTTAAAGGATACAGTTTTAGAGAAACGAAAAAATGTATTCCAAGGTTCTCAAAAAGTTTAAGTTTGAAATAACATGATGAGCATATAGATTTGTTTTGATGGGGTTTTAAAATTCAGATCTAACTAGAAAAATAGAAGAAACAGGAATCTTTCCTGATGAAAAAAGAAAAAACAAAAGGCTTGACAGTAGTAGAAGGGTGCTGGGCAGGCCCAGGGTCAGGCAACATGTAACAGAGCTGCCTGAAGCCGTGCTGGGCAGTAAGGATGGAAGATACTCTCGGAGTTCCGTGATGAGAGTCACACGTGGCAAGTCAGGCAGGGGGAAGGTAGTGCGAAAAGGAGGCAGAAAGGTCAGCTAAGTCTAGGATGTCAGGCACCAGGACCGAAGGGCAGCCACTAGAGCAGAGAAAGCAGTTCACAGAGAAAGGACGCCAAGGGGGAGACTTAAAGATAACCACGGTTTCTAGTTCAAGAAGACAGGAAGGAACAACAAAAAGAAGGGAAAATAGAACATAGAAATATATGTATCTTTAAGGAGCTTGCTAAAGACCAGTAGAATTCTGATATTAGCCAGGCTCGGTGGCTCAGCCTGTAATCCCACCACTTTGGGAGGCTGAGGTGAGTGGACTACATGAGCCCGCGGGTTCGAGAAGCGCCTGGGCAACTTGGCGAGACCTCATCTCTACAATAAATCAAAAAATTAGCCGGGCATGGTAGCGCGCGTCTATAGTTCCAGCTACTTGGAAGGCTGAGGCGGAAGGATTGCTGGAGCCCCAGCAGGTCGGGGCTGCGGTGGCCAGGAGCAGCCACTGCACTCCAGTCTGGGTGACAGAGTAAGACTCCAACTCAAAAAAAAAAAAAAAAAAAAAATTCTGATATTAAGGCTTGGTAACTGGGTTCATGGGAGTTCACTGTATTGTCTTTCCGTTTCTGAAAGCGTTAAATATTTCCACAATACAGACTTTTAGAAATTTCTGCCAGGTGTGGTGGTAGGCATCTGTAGTCTCAGTGACTCGGGAGGCTGAGACAGGAGGATCACTTGAGCCCAGGAGGTCAAAGCTGCATGAGATGTGATTGTGCCACTGCATTCCAACCTGGGGGGGACAGTTAGATCCCCAACTCAAAAAAAATTTTTTTTCTCAAAGGGCCCATGCACAGTGGCATGCACCTGTAGTCCCAGTTACTCAGGCTGAGGCAGGAGGTTCACTTGACCCGAGTAGTTCAAGACCAGACCAGCCTGGGAACACAGCAAGTTTTTGCCTCTTAAAAAAAGAAAAAACAAAAAGTGCAGGTATGAACCTTCCTCACAGTACTTTCTCATTCCACTTTTGGGCTTCACCATGACTTTTTTCAGAGTATTACTAACACTTCAAAAAAATCCACTGGACAGGATGCAATGCTTCATGTAGTAGTAGAAAAGATGTAGGTGAGGTAAAGAGCGGAATATCACTTAAATTATTACCTTGGTTTTTCTCTACAGTATCCCCTTTCGTTTCCTCTTCTTTAATGGGGGGGCTTATTCTGGGGGTCCTGCTTTGCCCCTGGATCACTTCTGCTAGTAATTCTTCTTGAGAAGTTCGGGTTCTGGGAGCAACTGGAAGCGTCTGTTTCTGTGGGACTTTTACATAAAAGCAAAAAATATGAAAATACAAACACAGTAACACATCAAAACTCAACAGTGAGAATGGCATATTACACAGAAATGCCTCCTAGGATTTGGAACACATGAGGCGATCTAATCAGTCCATAGACACCACTCGTTTTTTATAACATTCCTGAGAGGTAGACACCTGCCTGTTTCCCACAAGTATGTCAACGCCCACACATTTTGAGCCACATGCCATAAATACAACATAAGCACATAGGTACTCATTTTCAACCAAATGCAGTTCAGGCTCAGCTTCATTATCTAATGTCAGTTTCAAGTCATAATTTAGACGCCTGGGTAAAGAAAGAAATTGCAGCCCTATGTGTTAAGACTTGGGAATCTCCAACTATGATAAAAGCAGGATATTTTAAGGCCATGGTAATTCTCTATATTTTTCATCATTCTGACAGTTAATATTGTTGATAGATCAAAAAGTGGCAGGTAACTAGATACACTGTTAGGTCATATGTTGGCCTTTGCCTGACAATCTTTACATGCCAAAACCCACTTAGTTGTAGGTTCAAGGTTAAATTAGGGATGAGGAGAAGCAGGAGGCCAGACAAGGATCAGGATCAAAAATCAGCCAACAGTTTACTTCCTTTTAGGAAGGGGGTCACAGAAAAGATGCAAGAGAACGGACAAGCCAAGTAATGCTGTAAGGGCAGCCACCAAATCAACAGCAAAACGAGAAGGCTTCTCAGAGTGGCCTGGCCATCAGCTTGGGTACAGAGTTCACACATCTGCTACAGCAGATGGGGCACAGAGTGTAGAACTTAACAACAAAACAAAATGACACCCACCCCAGGCTGCACTTTAGAATGAGCTTTCCGTAAGATCAGCTTACCACTGGTCATCTCCTGTTTTAAAAACACATAATACCTTTACATTCTCTCATAAAATGACTTAGTACTCCCATAGGATTGGAGCAAAACACCAAAAGTGAGTCATTCTCTGCCTTTTACTCTAGTAAAAGGAAAAACACCAGACTGCTCACATACCAGGTTTAAATACATTTCTATTTTTCAGGCACTTGCCACTATCCAGTTTTACTTCCTTTTATACACATCGTAAGTTCACATCTAATGTTGACACTAACACTAATAATGTGAAAGTCCCACTTTTCCCAAAACTCTTTAAACTTGTATTACATATTTCACACACAGGAGAGTGTAAGGGTCTCAAAGAACTAAGCTCCACTAACAGTAAAGAAAGTTTCTCAAACTGACGAAATCTCATTTTAAAACCATTCTTCAGTTGGGCTGTTGGCCCATGTCTGTAATCCCACCACTTTAAGAGGCAAGGCAGGAGGATTGCTTGAAGCCAGGAGTTTGAGACCAGCCTAGCCAACATAGCAAGACCTTTTCTCTACAAAAAATGAAAAAAACAGCTGGGTGTGCTGGTGCACACCTGTAGTCCCAGTTACTCAGTAGGCCAAGGTGAGAGGATTGCTTGAGCCCAGGAGTTCAAGGCTAGTGAGCCATGATCACGCCACCGCACTTAAGCCTGGGCGACAGAGCAACACCAAATCTTGTTAAAAAAAAAAAAATTATTTTATAGGGGAAATTCATCTAGTCTAGACAGATCTGGCAGGTGCCTTTGTTTGGCCACAACTTCAGAAGTGGCCACTTTGTGCTTACTCAAGGATTACAGAAGCCTCTGAGTCAATGTACATATACTCACTTAAATTACCTGTAGAATAGTTTGTTGTTTTTGTTACAGATTCTTGAGCTTCAGAAATAGCCTTCAAAATCAGATTCTTGTTGGCTTGTTTAGAAGGTGGAAGAGAAGGTCTAAAAGAATTAAGGAATTTTTATTAAATTTTAAATTTCAGTTCTCTACATGCTAGTCATCCACTATGCCTTTATTACAGTACTTTCTAAGTTTTAAATAAACTAGCTCAAATTTTTAGGAAATGTCAACCACACTGGAACCTCTTTTAAAAATAATGAACCTGGCTGGGCTCGGTGGCTCAGCCCGTAATCCCGCACTTTGGGTGGCCAAGGTGAGTGAATTGCCTGAGCCTGCGGGTTCGAGACCCGCCTGAGTAGCTTGGCGAAACATCTCTACAATAAATCAAAAAATCAGCCAGGCGTGGTAGCGTGTGCCTGTAATTCCAGCTACTCGGAAGGCTGAGTTGGAAGGATCGCTGGAGCCCAGCAGGTCAAGGCTACAAGTGGCCAGGAGAGGCCACTGCACTCTAGTCTGGGCGACAGAGTGAGACTCTGACTCAAAAAAAATAAAATAATGAACCTAGACTGACGTTGTTCCCCCATCATACTAGTTTTTAAGATTCTCTGCAATCCCCTCCAATGTTCAGCAATTCCTCTCATTAATTTGGTACTCAAAAGTCAACAGAAAAGCCTTGCATACCATGACATTAATATTTATCTTCATGGTTTTCCCTGTCAAGAAACCCAGAAGCCCCCAACAGCACTGAAGACCAGGTACCTCCTCTCGGGCTTTGCCGGCACAGACACACTGCTGGAAACACCTCCTGCTCGGGACCCGTAATCATCCTCTTCCTCCTCCTCTTCTCCATCATGATTGAATTTTTTTACTTTGACAACTGAACTTACCACAGGCAACTTTCTCTTCCGAAAATTTTCATCCTGCAATCAGATAAAATTTATGCTTACCTAATCTCTAAAACAAAAAAGTCCTACCATAAAATACTTTTCCATTTTAAGATAAAGCCAATCATAGCAAGAGTTCATAAAGTATTTCCTTGATTTTTTATTTTTTGAGCTGGGGTCTCATTCTGTCACCCAGACTGCAGTGCAGTGGCACACTCATGGCCACTGCAGCCTCAACCTGCTGTGCTCTGGCGATTGTTCCACCTCAGTGGTTTTTATAAAAGTATAAATTTTATCCCTAATAGTCAATCTTAAATAAAACAAAGAGCTTTACATTCATTTTATTAATGGCTACCAAAAACAACCAGTTGAAGAAAGTTCGCTTACTAGCAGTTACCATGAACAACTTAAAAGTATAAGGTCCAAGCTAACTCAAATGATCAAAATCCCAGGAAGGCATTCAGATGCGATCTCAGCTCTAGGAGTCAGCCACTGAGAGGAAAAGCTGACTGGTGTGAGATGTTTTGAACAGTAGAGAAATCCATTTAAGCTACAGTATGTGTTCAGTTACTTCACACACTAGAATCAAGCCCTGCCCATCTGCAGCCTAATAAGCCAGAATTTAAAAATATGAATCAGCCGGGCGTGGTAGCGCACGCCTGTAATCCTGGCTACTTGGAAGGCTGAGGCGGAAGGATCACGGGAGTCCAGCAGGTCGAGGCTGCGGTGGCCGGGAGCGGCCTCTGCACTCCAGTCTGGGCGACAGAGTGAAACTCCAACTCAAAAAAAAAATAAAAAAAATAAAAATATGCACTAGCCTCAATACTCATTTTTTCCGCGCTGCTTCTAAAGAAGGGACTATAGGTTTCCTCTAAGCTGCTGAGCACTTCTGGGTCACACAAGCGTCCTGCCTCATACACTCGGGTGCTCTGAAGATCGAGTGGCTTGGCAGCATGAACACTGTTCTGTTGCTGAAACTGCAACCTGTTGATGTGAACACCACTCTCCGCATTTCGACTCGCAGGTGGACGATAGATTTCCATAGAAGGGCGAGAAGAACCGTATGTAAGTGTCACTGTTGTTTTCTTCTGAGATAAGGGATTCTCCTGCACAAAATTGAGGTCTTCGTCAATGAGGTCATCTGGCTCTGGCTTGATGTCAATCACATCTTCTGAGGGCGCTGGCTCCCTCAGAGGTTTCACCGTTGACATCAGGCGGGTTGCAGCTCCATCATCATACGCCTGTCTATTTACAAAAAAGAACAACAAAACGTACCATGACCAAATTAGGACAATTATCTCCAAATCTTCAAAGAATGTTTACTTGAAAAATTTTAATGAAAAATTAAATGCTCTCTTTATGTATTCCATTCAAAACTGCACATTTTCTTTAAACCTTGATTTACTGCACTTGTGATAAAAGACATTCCTACTCAGGTCCAGTCCATTATTTTATTCACAAGACTGTTCACAATCACTTCACTGTCTCTAAAAGCTGCTGAAAACAGCAATGGAAAGATATAAAAACTAATGTGCGTGCGCCACACACACACACACACACACACACACACACACACACACACACACACACACACAGCCATCCGCCCACAGCAGGTCTATACACAGGACTCCCACCTGGCACTAGTGGCTTTAGGCTCCTGTGAACTAGCAGAAACCCTGGAGTCTCTTTTTTCAGGCCTAGTGCTGGACACAGCAAGGGGGGACACCGCAGCCTCGTGCCTCCTCTCATCCCCCCGACCGAAGTTGCTCTTGCTTGAAGGCACGTTACTATCAAAGATGTTGGTGTCAGAGGACTTGAGACTAGAGGGTTCTGAAAACAAAAACACACAATCTTTGTCATCTGCTTGTATTCCTTGAAAGCTTTTCCTTCCTCATCACCATGTTTACTATAGAAAAGCAATACATGTATATTGTAGAAAATTTTTTAAATACAAAAATCACAACTGGGCACGGTAGCTCATACTTGTTATCCCAGCACTTTGGGAGGCGGAAGCGAGAGAACTGCCTGAGCCCATAGTTCAAGGCCAGCCTAGACAACATGGCGAGACCTCATTTCTACAATAAACCAAAAAATTAGCTAGGTGCATGCCTGTAGTCCCAGCTACTTGAAAGGCTGAGGCAGAAGGATCGCCTGAGCCCAGCAGGGTGAGGCTGCGGTGGCCGTGAGATTGCCACTACACTCCAGCCTGGAAGACAGAGTGAGACTCTGACTCAAAAAAAATAAATAAATATCAGTTATCTCAAAGGTGATTTTTTTTAAGAGAAAAGCGCTCATACACATTTTCCAAAACAGATATCGTATGTGTATATATCCCTCATGTTATTCTTCCCCATTATTTTTAATAGCTGAATGTTATTCCATACATGAAAACATAATAATTTATTCAATTTATCATTATTGGACTTTTAATTAATTTTCAGTTATAAAATATTGAAACATCCCTGAGGCTGAATCCTTGCACACATCTGTAATTTCTTTCTTGGGATAAACTGCACTGCTCCCTCTCCCTCACTTTAATTACCCTTGAATCCTAGTAAATTTATTGTTATTAAATTCATTAAAATATGTGCTTCCTAAAAAAGTTCTAATGAACCACTGTTTTTTAAAGCTACTGTTTTTTTCCAAAGCACTACACATGACTTTAGAAAGGAACAAATCATATGATATAGCAAGCAGAAATTTAGGAAAGACCAATGTCATGAATCTTACCAGTTGTAACAGAGCGAAGTTTATCTAACACACCATGAAGCCTAAAAAACAAAACAACAAAAAAAATAAAGCTTTCCCTAGGAAAGACTACATATTTGAACTGCCCTCTAAATTTGACATTATATTCAGATAAATATAGACCATGGCACTTAATGGATAAACAGTCTTAAACTAACTTTCAAATTTCACATTAAAAAAGGCTTTACATGAATACTGCATTAGTCAATCAACATCCAGCCTCTGCAAAAGGACGAGCAAGGGGATCACCTGCCCACAGGTTTTGGTCCACAGAAAACGGCCTGGATTTCCAATGGTTAAGACTTGATGGAGCTTAGGGCAAAATAAGACCAAGCGTCGCAAGCATGTAACATTGTTAGCTGTTAAAATTGCTTAAGCACAGTTTATTTTTATTTTAACCACTTAAACGGTTTCTTGAAAAAATTTAATTGAGAGGTGAAAAAAGTTACAAAGAATCTCAAAATGTGCTACACCACTTTGCTATAACTATTATTTTTGAATCAGATGTGGTCAGTAAACCACAGGCTGCAACCTTGCTTACAGTACAATCAGTGTTAGCAGTTATATCTGAAGCAAGTGTGTCTCACATTCCCCTTAAGATGCAGTACCTCCCGAAAATGCCAGAAACCTCACTATCATGTTACAACTGAAACCCTAATCACATGCCACTGTCCTCACGAACAGGTATTTCAGGACTCTAAAGGACCAGGACAGCCTGACAGGCTGGTGTTACTGAACACATAACTTAGGAAAGCAAAATGGAGACTTCATCCCTTGTACATGTTAAAGAATTGAATTAACGGCAAAATGAGCCAAGTGCAGTGGCTCACAACTGTAACCTAGCACTCTGGGAGGCTGAGGTGGGAGGACCGCTTGAGCATTCCAGAGCAGCCTGGGCAAAATGGTGAGACCTCATCTCTAAAAAAAAAAAAAAATCAGAAAATTAGCCAAGCATGATGGCATGGGGCATTGCCTGTAGTCCCAGATACTCAGGAGGCTAAGGTGGAAGGCCTGAGCCCAGGAGATTGAGGCTGCAGTGAGCCATGAACATATCACTGTACTCCAGTCTGGGCAACAGAGTGAGACTCTTGACTCAAAAAAAAGAAACAAAAGAAAAAGAAAAAGAATGGTGTCATAAACCCAAGACCTCTGCAACGTCAAGGAGGCTGTGAAGCATCCAGCTACGCGCTGGGCATAAAGACCTGTGGTATGAAGACACGAAGTCGGTGGGTCAGTCTCTAGCCATTCAAATCACAAGGGCCACTGGCTCACTCACTCCTACTCCATCATCATGTCCGCTGTTGCAGGTCGCTCTTGCTGGGGCTCTTGTGTTTCCTGTCTCTGTTCTCAGGCACATCGTGGCCCCACCCCCAGGCCACCCAGCTCTACCTCAAGCCTGGCACCAGGACCTGGTCTTCCTCTATGGAATCGGATGCTTTTAGTCTGTATTCTCAACTTAAGGCATATGTGATTTGAAAAAGAACACTCAAAAATGCAATAATAACTTATATTTGAAGTTACATTATATTTGAATAGCTGAATATTTTAAAATGCCAAATTTTAAAGATGACTGAGATTGATGCTTGTCAAATGAAGGCAAGAGTTAAGAAAAAGGAAAGGCTAAAAAAAAAAAAAAAAAACCAACGAAAAACCTTGCAACTTTAGAGGAGACAGCAATATAGGATGCCAACCCAGTCCAAACATCTGTAACTGGTTTTGATATAGAAGTTTGCAAAAGAAGAGTAATGATCACAGCTGACATATAGTAAGTACTAAGGACGCCTTGGGCCAAGCAAACCTGAATGAAGCACTTGACACCTATTAGCTCATTTAATACTCCCAACTATTCTGCAAAGCAGGTGATCTTCTCTTCCCATTTAACAGACAGAGAAACTAAGGCAAGATGCAGAGCCAGGATTTGGCCCTGGCAGTCTGGCTGCAGAGGCTGTGCTCACCGCCCACACACGGCCTCTCCAATATGAACCAAACTCAACTGTCAGAACCTCTTCTAACAGAACACTGGCTCCAACTCGTGACCACCCTTGGTGGAGGCACAGACATTCCAGAACATACCACACGGTGAATCGCACTGTGTTGCTCCCTAGGAACAAGGACAGGTCCTCTGCCATCTGGTCCTGGCTTTTCTTGTTGGCTACCATCACCATAATGTAATCAGGAAGTTCTTCATCTATTTAAAAAGAAAAGTATATCAACACTTTTTAATATTTCCCTCAATATTTTATTTCACTTAAAGCCGATGCGCTTGAAAACATAACTGTAGCTTTAAGAATTAGTATCTCAGTTCTACAGAAATTATGTTGGAAAGGAAAGCTTAGCTTCAATGTTTTTCTCTTCATTCCACAGGTATTTCAATTAATAGGACAAGAATTAAGTGTAACTGATGAATACTTACAAAACTAGACATTCTGATTTACAGAAATGAATTTGATAGTTCATTTCCTTGAAAGAAATATATTTTTAAATGCTCATTAATTTCTGAGAAGCTTCTAAAAAGTCTCTGTACATTCCCCAAAAAATAACTTAGTTTTATGTATAAGACTTCAAAATAATACTCATTTCTCAAGAGAACATCTTTATCCTGGTAAAGGTAGATTTCGATTACTCAGGGTAACAAACTTGCAGCAACATCAAATAAACTAAAACCACCAAAAACACTACACCACTTTTAAAAATCCAATCTTAAGGCTAATTAGATAATGTCAATTCAACTCATTGCTTTACTCTCACACTGGTAACCCTACAGCTTATAAGGATGAGGTCTAGGAAACAAACAAAAACATCAGAAGGTAAAGCAGCAATTATCAGAAACTTTAATCTTTATCCCAAAACTCCTTTAGATTTCTTTAATACCTTAAATATTAATAGTATTTCTAGATAGGCAGGAAGGTTCATTTCAGAAGTACTATCAGACGTTTCAAAAAAACTTAAAAATCCAGTTCAAGAAAAGCACAAGAATCTTGAGAAAGCCCCATCTACAGAAGGAAAGAGAGAGATCAGAGTATCTGACGGAAGCATGCAACATACAGGAAGATGCAAGTAAGGACAGGTAGCCAGTCATTCACTGTTCTCTAGGCAGAGTACCAAGACGCTTTCACTGCTTTCTAGCACTTACAAGAATAGACTTGGTAGCTTTTTTTTTTTTTGAGTTGGAGTCTCACTCTGTCGGCCAGACTGGAGTGCAGTAGCCGCTCCCGGCCACCACAGCCTCGACCTGCTGGACTCCGGCGATCCTTCTGCCTCAGCCTTCCAAGTAGCTGGAACTACAGGCGTGCGCTACCATGCCCGGCTAATTTTTTATTTATTGTAGAGATGAGGTCTCACCAAGTTGCCCAGACGGGTCTCGAACCCGCAGTCTCAGGCAATCCACTCACCTCAGCCTCCCAAAGGCACGGGATTACAGGCTGAGCCACCGAGCCCAGCTTGGTAGCTTATTTATACACAGCATCTACCATAGCCCCCAAGCACAACTCAGAAAAGGTCAACAGAAAAAAAGGTGAAATACTCTGGCACTCTTGACAGCTTTTCTCATAGTATCAATGATACAAATGGACTGTGCTCTCTGTCACTACATATGCATTTGCTAAAATTTTGCAAGATCAGTGGCTGCCTGAGTACAGGGTGGGAGCAGGGAAAGGATGGGATGGGGGAGTTCCTGGAAACTGGAAATTGGGGGGGGGAACGAATGTGTATTATGTTGACAGTGGTAATGGGTTTATGGCTGTGCACATGTCAAGACATACCAAACTACAGACTTTAAATATGTGCGATTTAACACACATCAATGGCTGGGCTCGGTGGCTCAGCCTATAATCCCAGCACTTTGGGAGGCCGAGGTAAGAGAACTGCCTGAGCCTACAGGTTCAAGATCCACCTGGGCAAGTTGATCTATCATAGAGAAATCAAAAATTAGCCGGGTGTGGTAGCATGCGCCTCTAGTTCCAGTTACTTGGAAGGCTGAGGCAGAAGATCGTAGGAGCCTACCAGGTTGAGGCTGCAGTGCCACTGCCCTCCAGCCTGGGTGACAGAGTGAGACTCCAACTCAAAAAAAAAAAAATTATTCCTAACAAAACTGTTAGAAACTCATCTGTTGTTTTCTCAGTAAACTTACAATGGGAAGTAAGAATCTAATGAAAAATTAATGTGCTCATATGATATACTCTACCAGAAGTCTGACAGATTTCTTAAACTCATTTGAAACCAGCATACTAAAAAACACAGTAAAAATCTGGACTTTCTAGAAGCTCATGTAAATTAAAACTTTTCTAAACTAATTATAACTGCCATCTCACTGTGGTGCTCCATTTAAGAACTCAAGTGAGACTTCATCACCTTTTTTTAAGAAAAAGAACGATTCACCTTTGATTTCCACCTAATGCCTCAAAAACAGCACAGTCAAGCACTTACTGAAAGGCTGTTTTCATTACTTAAAGGGTTCTAGGCGGCAACTGCCTCGGGTCCCCTCCCACTGAGGGAACTTTTCTGTCCTCTCAATAAATCCTGCTTTAAAATAAATAAATAAATAGTTCTAGGATTTCCTAGCATAAAGTGACCAGAAAGACAATGATGTACACACACACAAATAATTAGGCATCTAACTGTAAACATGAATTAAGAAGAGATACAACTGTATTTCAAATAGAATCTAATGGTGACCTCTGTCTACTCACAATAACACTTATAAAATATCAGGCTCTCTTTCTGGCCAATGGGACACAGTAAACACGATGTTTCTACCCTTAAGAAACTTCCAGTCAAGGCCAGTGTGGTGACTCGCGCCTGCAATCCCCAGCACTTTGGGAGGTCAAGACGGGAGGCTCACTCAAGCCCAGGAGTTTGAGACCAGCTTGGACAACATAATGAGACCTTATCTCTACAAAAAATTAAAAAATTAGTCAAGAGTGGTGGCACCTGCCTGTAGTCCCAGCTACTTGGGAAACTGAGGCAGAGAGATTGCCTGAGACCAGAAGGTCAAGGAAGTAGTGGCCATGATCACGCCACTGCCCTCTGGCCTGATCATCGAAGTGAGACCCCATCTAAAAAGAAAACAAAAATTCCAAGCTGCAGAAACAAGAAAAGAAGCTGTGTACACAGGTGACAGTGCTGGGACAGATTTCATCAGGGCTTTGAAGGGGCACAAGTAAGGGTCTTCTGCCATCTTCAGCTCACCAAGCTTCTACTATGAAGCTGACATACAAGAAACCAAGGGCCCAAAAGACGGGAATCCTCTGCCCCTCCAGCTGCTCCTGATCAGCACCATGAGCCCTCTCAAGACTCCACATCAATGTTCTCAGTGGTTTACTTGTGGGTCTCCTTCTGAGCCAAAACAAGTTTCTGCTCAGAGTTGGCATCCATGACATGTTAAAAGGATAAATAAATCTCAGTTCAGCTTCTCTGAGCCTGTACTTTGTCATCTGGTAGGCTTACAACAATCCTGACCACAAATCATTTGCGAGAGTGTCCAGCAAGTGTTAAGTAGCCCATAACTCAGCATTCTCAGGCTGTTTAGCCTCAGGTCCCTTCTGTGGCTTTAGCAGGTAACACCTAATGATACTTACTGTATTCCTAATTAAAACTGAGAATGTTTAAAAAGTATTTAATGCATTTAAAAATAATACACCTAACACACGCTCACCACAAACCCAGTTATATTAACATAAACCTTACCCCCCAAAAAATTAGTTCAAAGCATGGCTTTGGCCAGGTGTGGTGGCTCAAGCCTGTACTCTTGGCACTTTGGGAGGCCGAGGGGAGAGAACTGCCTGAGCCCAGGGGTTCAAGACCAACCTGGGCAACATGGCGAGACATTGTCTCTACAATAAATCAAAAAATTAGCTGGGTGTGGTAGCGTGTGCCTGTAGTTCCTGCTACTTGGAAGTCTGAGGTGGAAGGATCACCTGAGCCCAGCAGGTCCAGGCTGCAGTGGCCGTGAGTGTGCCAACGCATTCCAACCTGGTCAACAGAGTAAGATTCCAACTCAGAGCCGGGCTCGGTGGCTCGGCCTATAATCCCGCGCTTTGGGAGGCTGAGGTGAGTGGCTTGCCTGGGCCCGCGGGTTCGAGATCTGCCTGGGCAACTTGGCGAGACCTCATCTCTACAATAAATCAAAAAATTAGCCAGGCGTGGTAGTCCGCGCCTGTAGTTCCAGCTACCTGGAAGGCTGAGGCAGAAGGATCGCCTGAGCCCCAGCAGGCCGAGGCTGCGGTGGCCGGAAGCGTGCCACTGCACTCCAGTCTGGGCAACAGAGTGAGACTCCAACTCAAAAAAAAAAAGAACTCCAACTCAGGAAGGAAAAAAAAAAAAAAATAAGAAGAGTGGCCTTGACTTACACTTTTATAAATCTTTAATATCTAGGACAGCTGGATTCTAACTTCCGGTTCTGCATTTAACCTGTTGTGCTATGTTGTTCTGAATGAAAAATGTGAAGAAAATCAGAAGAAACAATAAACAGTTGAAAAAGGAGGTTTTTTTGGCCAGGTGCGGTGGCTTATAACTGTATTATAGAGATAAGGGTCTCGCCAAGTTTCCCAGGTTGGTCTCGAACCCCTGGACTCAGGCAACCCTCTCGCCTCTACCTCCCAAAATGCTGGGATTACAGGTAAGAGCCACTCCTGTCAAGAAAGGAGTACTCTGTTAATCTTTCCAGATAATATGGACACTCTTCTGTGATACTATACCAACACTCAACACGTGGTCGTTTGTAAAGTGTCAGCAGCAATGTAGAATCTCAGACCACACCAATGACCTTTCTGTACTGTGACGTAAAAGTCCACTGGCCACCCCCCACAGTTTTAAGGAATCTTTAATCCATGCATAAATTTGTAACATGATACATTGGTCATTTGGAAAACACTGGCTCAGCGAACTGAGCAAATCTCAGACATGTTGATACATTTCTTTACACAACATAAAAGAACTGTATGTTACTATTATCACTGATTTCAGGAATTCTTTAAGTACTGGGCAGCTGTTAAACTCATACAGGCAGACACAAGTCTCCAAAGTTCTAATTTTCATTGGAAAGCTCAATTTGTCACCAGCAACCAAGATTATCAGTTCTTTTCCTTTGCACCCTTTCAAGTAAATGTCTGCCGAATATTCTAGCGTATGTAACCACAGCTTGTCAGTTTTTTGACGTTAAAAATGACGTTCCAGCCGGGCTCGGTGGCTCAGCCTGTAATCCCGCGCCTTTGGGAGGCTGAGGTGTGTGGATTGCCTGAGCCCACGG